TCCATCATCGTATAAAGCCCGCCCTGACAATTTGATTGGCCCGCCAGATATTGTGCTATCATACTCGCGCTACTGTTGAGCAATGCCAGACCGAACTTCCCGACCTCAAACGTTGTGGGCGGGACTAAGATCGAAATGGCACCCAGGCTAACGTAGGACGGCCTTACGCACACATATCACCAGAATGATTGACAGTTAGGAGGACCACTTAGTTTGATGATGCACCTGGAAATAAAAGATCCTCCTCTATACCTTTAAGAAAACAAATCAGTCACTGATTCTGCTCTTAAGGCAAACCTAAAAGCATGCATCTAAATATTAAATATATATGTATTATCTTTATTATAGATATATTAATAATATATAATATATAGCTAAATGCTTATTGCAATATTATGAACTATAATCAGATTAATCATTAACTTCACACTAATGGTGACCACCATGATGAGGGCAAAATGGCAGCATAAACGCAAGGAATCCAAACCAGCAGTAGAACCAGTAGTTCCATCCATCTAAAAAGACCTTTAAGCTACTAGTGAAAAATAAGGCGCTTCATTCCAGATGTTTGATAAGCAAGTCTGTTTGGGTCTGAAAAGAACACGCTACCTCAGGCCTGACCTCTGACCTTCCTCTTCTAGAGGAGTTTTCTGCCATCAGAGAGCCTCTGTTTCTCTCTGAGGGTTATGCCTCCATGAGGCCCCTTATTGTTCTAGAAAATAATCCAAGTAATGAGCCCTGACAACATGCTGGGAACATCAGAGATGTTAGCGAACGTCTGTTTGTCGTTTGGAAGCTTAATGAGCTGCTGGCCAAACTCGACCTCGTCATGAGTTTTTATGCTCCAGCCATTTTAACGTGATGAGTCAGCGCCGGGTCGGTCCTGGACAGGGAGCGCCCCGCTCCAGCTTCCTGGGCTCTGATGGTGGTAACCATCTTATTTTTAAATGTTCTATGAACAACCCTTCAGTATCCCTTCAACCTGCGCTATTTTAAATAACATCATAGAAATACTATCAATCTTTCTGTTTTTGTTTTAGTTTTCAGTGACATTCATTAGTGAGTAACATTCATTCATTTTCAGGATCTTTCATCCTTTCATTTTAAGGTTGAGAGATTAAATTATTTGTTTTATTTTTTCTGAATAATATTTTTGTCACCCATCTTACAAAAACCTGAATCCTTTTCAAAGATGAACACAGTAATATTATTTAACATATTTTTCCTTTTGTTTACAAACTTTACAAAACAATTATACAGGAATTTCTTTATCACTCAGAATAAAAGACACTGAAATCTTCCTGAATGCATGAATAAGCGGCACGAAAAAAACCCCTCATATAATATTTATAATGGAGAGAAACAAAAGCTTGCAGAAAAATTCAACTTAATATTTTCACACGTTACGGCTGCAGGTCTCCTACCAGCTTTGAACATTTACAGACTGAGCTTTATACCCAGTTTGGATGAGAACATCACTTTTCAGTTCTTGTCACATTTAACTAATCCGTGAATCTGCCTACAACAGTTTTTGGTTGTGTTTCTCTTTATTCCTGGCAGTGAATCCGGGAGCTTTTGTTGAAGGAGTCCAACTGCAGACCAAAGATTCTAAAAGGTGTTTGTGTCATTTTGGGGTTTTCTGAATCGATTCCATTTTGATTCATACGGTTCTAAATCGATTAATTTCGATTCGATCTGTTTTTACAATAATGAAAGTGGTTCAACTGTGTTTCAAAATACTCATGTATTTTGTTTTTTCCTGTCACATTAAACACAAAGTGCAAACTTGTAAATCAGACAGTTTAAACTCGAGACTCGAGATGTGAACAAAACTGTCTCAAAAGTGCAAACTTGTTGGTGAAAAGTGAAAAAGGGAAGCGTCACTGAAGCAAGCAGATGTGACACAGCAGACATTCATAAGCTGCATTATCTTCAATGCACAAACCATATGTGCAGCGTTGTCTGTAACATCTACAGGGTGTTTTCTGGTCAGCCTGCATTTGGTAATCTCTCCAGCCAACATATTGGGCATATTTGCAGCTGTCTGGCTT